AAAAAATGGCAAAATATCACCTTGCTTACAGTATTGCAATATATCACAAAATATAATATCATGTATGTGCATTGTGATACATATCATAAATCCTCATTCTTGCCAATTCACAGCCCTAGATTCTATGATGTAGCTAARGTAAAACAAACCATGAGTAAAAGACACACCTGTCTTCCTCATTTCCACTTCATTAGATTCTAACATTGTCATCCATTGAGTCCTGATGTAATGTCCTAATTTGGTTTTGCAGCCTGTTTGGTTCCTATTAATACACAAACGCTTAGGACGAAGCGTCCTTGTTTTTGCATCTGCTGYAAGAAGTTGGCTCCAAAAGCATGTCTGGTAATCTGCCATGAATGTGGTGACATGCTAGATTTAACTGTGTCGTCAGACAGCACCTCCTTACCTTTCCTCTCCTACACACTTGTACCTGCAGACTCACACACACACACACACACACACACACACACACACACACACACACACGTTGGCAGGTGGAGGAGTGTGGAAAGGTCGTGTCTTAGGGCGAAGCAGACAAACTTCAAAAATAGAAGTCAGAATTTACAGCAACGTGACGGGTAGGTCGGGGGGCGGGGGGTGATGTGGATTCTGAATACAAGGAAGATCAAGGTACAGAGAAGCTGGAGGAATTTGAAACTCTGCTCTTATTGGAAAATTTTGACACATGCCCATAGACTGACACACACACATTTACACACAAACTGTCTCTTGTTTGGCGCCACTGCCAAGTGGAGTGTCAGTTTCAAAGTGGGAGCCTTTAAGTGGCGCCCAGTGAGCCCGCAGTAGTGTTCATGTCACGGGCACTTGGCTGCTTGTGTGTATGAAATGAAACGTGTGTGTGTGTGTGTTGTTTAGGTGTGTGAGTGTCAGATGTCTGTGGAGGCAGAGGGGTGGAACGGCCAACTCTGGGCGGGGCTGCGGGAGGCACAGATACACGATGGCAGGCTGACCCTGGCACTGTTTCACAGAGTGAGGCATTAGCCATCATTTCCAGGCACCATCTCTGCCATTTTCTGTTTGTGCCCTCTTTCAAAAACCCACTCACACTCCTCAACATTAAACACCTCGCAACTGGGCCACACTCTATCTCCGAAATGGTTTTATTTTAAGCCGCTCTCCAGTTTTGGTCATTTGCATCTGCAAGGCCGGACCAAAGGTGACGGTTATGAAAACACACACACTTGGTTCTGATAATGGAATTTTAAATGTTCTGCTCCTTATTAACTTTTCAGTTTATTAAAAATCCGGCCTGTTTCACCATCCACGGGGCAAAGTCACCAGTCCGTGTCCCTGTTGCAGATTAATTACTTTTCTATGCGGAGGAAGAAGAGGGGATGGTGGAAAGTGGAAGAAAGCAAAATGCTGTCTGCAGTTTAAAAACGGCAAGATATATATTTTTTTCTCCTCTGACGTTAATACATCTTCCGTTTGGCTGGCAGGCTCTTATCTGCAGAGCGACTGAGCCACGTTAGGCCCTGGTGAATTTTGATGATGACTGCAGGTCATCCAATGAGAATACACAATGAGGAAAGCTCTGGATGACATTACACTCAAAGGGCCCATTCTCATTGACTTAAAGACAGAATTTTTCCCTGCTGTATACTTTATTCCCTTTTACCCTGCTTCTTTCCTTATAAAAAAAAGCTTTATCATAATACTCACCTGCATAAGACTCCATTTCACAGCTTTAAAGGGACCCTCGACTAGTTGTAACATTAGACACTATRTAATGAACATTTCCTTCAATTATAAAAAAACAAGACTGTGAAATTAGTGTAGGCTATTTAGTTTTTAAAAAATATGTAAAATATTTTGTCATTTCTACATTTTCCTCCTTTTTTTAGCCACTTCAGTAGAAAGCAGAACTGAATATCAGTTTTGTAACTTCTTCATCATCAGTGACTTTTTTTAAGAAGAAAAAGTAAGAGAAGAAAAAAATAGTGAAATGTAATAGGAAAGAGTGAAAGAGAGATTAGAAGATATGTGTAATACTGTATATATAGAAACCACAAGACAACACACCCGTCATCTTGGCATCACAGCAACAAAAATGCATATCTATATAATTATAATGATTATAACCTTGCTGAAAGGTATACTGTACCTACACACACACACACACACACACACACACA